GCTTGGTGCCCCCGGCTTTCAGCTGCCTGTGTTCAGGCGGGCCCGGCAGTTCCGCTCCGGCGGCGTCCTGCTGCGTCAGGTCCATGACTTGAGGGCCCGGAGGAGGAGGCAGCGCCAGCCCTGCGGGCCCTGGCCGGAGCCCTGAGCAGGGGAGAAGGGCTGGTCCCTCCCTCCTAGGCGTGTGGGATCCCGTCTCCCCAGGCGCTCCGTCCCCAAGGAATCGGGGCTCTGGAGCTCTTCTCCACCTCCTGGGAGCCCAGAGGAGCCTTCCCCCTTTGGGACTGAGGATCGGGGAAGAAGGTGGCGAAGAAAGGGGGGGAGGGAAGGGGAAAAAAGGGAGGCGACTGCCGCTTTACTGGCCCTGACAAGCTCGGGCTCCCAGGCTGGGCCCAACCCGTCCAACTGGCTGGGCAGCTCGCAGCCAGCGAATCCGGGGAAATGACAGGCCTGCTCCACTTTTCCTGCCAGCTTATCATAACAACAGGCATTTTGCCGCCGAGCGAGCAGGCCTCGGCACAACTCCTGGAGCACACCTCACCAGAGGCATGAAAAAACCCAGCCCCTTCATCGTTGCAAGCTGCTTGCCCTCCACCACCTTCTGAAGCTACTCTCGAGGTTCCCCCAGCTATTCTATTTTTTTTTTTTTAATTCAGAAACTGATGGAAAAATTAAGAATGGAGGCAAGTAAAGGTGCACTCCAATGTTCATCATGTTTAGCAAAACGTGGAAGCAAATTCAGTTCCAGTCAAAACAGTTGCAAGTTTTCCAAAGCTGCCCTGTGACCCAACTTAAAATAAATAAATAAAATACAGTATAATCAGGGTGATTTGTTTTCGGCTCTTGGGCATACTTACCTAGAAATACAAGCCATGAGGCTCTGTGCAGTTATTCCCAAGTAAATGGGAAAATAAGGCAGCTTCCAGTAGCCCAGGTCAATTTCAAGCCGTGCTTGCTAGTTTTTGGTGCTGGCTCTTGGGGACAGGCATTCTGCAAGCCTGCTGTCCTAGCCAAATATCAGCCCTGCGCGCCGCCCCAAACCCCTCTCCAGCCAGCCTCAGAAGCCTCTGGATCTCTTGGTGTATCACCTGAGAGTGAAGCCACACGCGTGGAAATCCCACACACGGCTTTTGTAAGGCAATCCACAGGCCCCCCCTACTGTTCCGGTCAACTGCGAGGAAGGAAACGTTTCACCCGAAAACAACTGTGGGGAAGAAAGAACCGCACAACCTTCTCGATTCACACATTCAGTGAAAGAGAGAGCTTGTCCTGCACGCGTTTCTGACATTTGTAGACAGACTCACCCCTCCAAAGGAGCCATAAATCTCCACACCAACCGATGCTGGTTTTCTTAATTAATCTTCCAAACTGGCACTTGCTGGATTCTAGTGTGTGTGTATATAGAATTAATGAAGGCAAAATTGTGTGTACGCGCTCATGTTTGTACTGCACACCTAAAGGTAGGATTGGGATGGAAACAAAGAACCAAAAGAATTTGGAAGACTCAAACCCAAGTAAAGATAGCATCATTCTTGCAATCACAAAGAGAACACACTAGCATTTAACTCTACATCTTTCTAGGAACACATAGAAGATATGCGATTATTGAATTAGCAACCCTACTTCTATTCAAGTGGTCCATGTTCTGCCTTTTCATAAACACTTTCCACTTATCCAAATATCTATCTCTTCATATAATACTCTTTCCTCTACTATCATAATATTACTGTGCAAGATCTATCACCGAGGCACCCTGTGGACGCAAATTTACCAACAGATTGTTTCTGGCACCATACTTAGGCAATACTTCTCCATCTCTGCCTGCCCTCCACACCATCTGAATTACTCTGAGCATCTCCCACCAGCCATGCCTACGAGGCTGCGCTTTTGAGTTTAAAAAGCAAGCTTAAAGCCACACCGCCTTCATCAACGCCATCCTCCTCTTCTTCCTGCTCCTCATCTAATTCTAATCAAAGGGCTGAGAGGAACAAGGAAGATGTAGCACCAGAGAAGATTTGATGCAGAAATGACAACTGTTCAGACCAGATAAATGTCTCTCAAGTGTGCAACACCAGACCTGTGGATCCAAGTTTTGAGAGCGCTGAGATGGATCTCTTTAGGAGATCTTGGGAACCCCTGTACTGACTAAAATACATTTTAATTTTGTCTTGTGATGCCTTTCCTCTTCCTCATTCATTTTGCTCATCCATTCCATCTTCTCGACCCTTTCCCTGTAGCTCTTGGGATACGGAGGTCTTTGCAGGAAGATCCGTGTGGATGTATTTTCTTTCTCCCCTCCCGGTGTGCTTCGGCAAAGGTCGTTTTTTTCTAAACCACCCCCGCACAGGCGTGTAGCCTCCGCCTGCCCCTTTTCGATTCCACCCGCCCTCGTCTCCCCATTTGCCAAGTGAAGAAGTTGGTCTCCCAAAGCTTCGTTGGCTGCTGCAAGGTGTTTTCCAATCGCAGCTGGGAATTTTTCTCTTTTCTTTTCTTTTCTCTTTCTTTTCTCTTTCTTTTCTCCTTCTCTTTCTTTTCTCTTTCTTTTCTTTTTCTTTCTTTCTTTCTTTCTTTCGCTCTCTCTCTCTCTCTTTTGGGGGGGGAAGAGAGAGACGGGGGCGGGAGGAAGGGATCCTCTTTCCTGGATGCCCCAGTCGCCGGAAAGCGCTTACCTCACATTCCTCATACTTGATATTATCCGTCAGTTTCCAGAGCATTTTCATGGATTGGCGTGGCGAGAGGCAAGGGGCGAGAGAGAGGGGAGAAAGAAAGAAGGAAAGAAAGAAAGAGAGAGAGAGAGAGAGAGAAAGAAAGAAAGAAAGAAAGAGGGAGGAAGAGAGAGAGAGAGAGAGAGAGGACGAGGCAGTTTGCCCTGCCTGCCTGCCTTGCGCTCTCCTCTGGCATGCAGAGCGCGCCCGCTGGAGTGCTGGAGCAGGCGGAGGAGGAGGAGGAGGAGGCGGAGGCGGAGGCGATCTCCCGTGCCCGCTCGGAGATCTCCCTCTAATGGTCGAAACTTTTCCCTTCTCCCACTCGTCTTTTACCAGCAGCCCAGTCGCCACCTCATTAGCATAGCAACCCTCGGCCAATTGCTCAGCAGCGCAGCAACTGGCCCGCGAAGGGACCAGGGTGTCAGGGACGCCGCTCGCGCTCTGCCTCTCTTGGAAAACCCCTTTGTAACCATCAGGCCCCGGCAGGGGAGAAGGAAGGGGGTGCTCCTAATGGGGTGCCCTCGCTTTTAAAGCACAGCCCTCCAGGCATCTTTTCCTCTCTGCAATTTTCACAAGCCAACCCGTGGGAGACCTTGACCTTTGCTTCCCGCCTACACCTCCCTGCAGCCGCCCCAATGTTTCCGCGATTTCTTCTGTCGGAAATAGCACAGAAAGCCCCTTCAAGTGATATTCCCGGCGAGGTCCTTTTCTGCTGGACCAGTCTCGGGAAGCTCCTCTCGACTTAAACCAACCGCAACCCGCAGTCCCATTCTAGACGCTTCGATTCTGGGGGAAGGTGCGCTGGTTCTGCTTCCAGAACCAGAAGAAGAGTTAACAAGCTGAGTCGGGAAGCCCTGGCCTGACCCTGTTTACTCAGAAATGTCCCATTGGACCAAACCACATCCCAGTAAAAATGCCCAGGACCAGTTAAATGGTCCAGTTTGGGCTTAAGAACACTTTTCTCCCCTTGTTCTCTGAAGTCTCTTATTTTTGTTTTACAATATCACCCCCACACCCACACCACACACATTTTTCCCAAACCCAACATGCATACACACGCACACACACATGAATCCAAAGGAGAAAAACACACTTCCAGGTTTCTGGACTAGCTGACTTCCAGGTTTCTTACACTAATGAAACCTTTTCCATTGGGAACCCTGAGATATTTGTCTATTTAAGATATTTGCCTATTCACATTTCTCGAGGACATTATTTGGTGCTGTGTTCTTTTTCAGCTAAGAATGGGGTCTGTTCCCTGATTCTCTAAGGTTGTGTTTTTGAGTGGAATTACTTTGGTGTCAATTCCAATCCTAAAATGGACTTGTTATTAGAAACACTTGAACAACAGGTGGTTTCTGGGGGAGCTCAGGCAGTCTGAAATAAATTTGACTCAAGGCCACAATGTAAATTTCTTTACAGGCAAAAGCCCTCTGCTTCAGGACAAAGAGAGGTGAACAGAGCCAAGAATGCCAGGGGGATTTAGGTTCAAGCAGTGAATCAAAGGCAGAGATGTGGAGTTGCCTAACCATTTCTTTTCGGTTCAAACTCCAGCTCTCTTTTCAAGAGTGGGAAACAAATATAACCATGAAGGAAGGCACCTTTTGAGCATAGACAGAGTGTTGTCAAGTTGCCCAACATCTAGAACTGAACTTCAGCCATTGAGGAGATGGGGAAGACCCTAACTTCCACTAAAACAGTGTGGACCTTGGCTACATCTCTGCTTCAAATCTTGTTCCTCCTTTGTTTCATTCCAGGGCCACCCTGTGGCTTGTTCAAAACCATTAATTTGGATTCCCTCCCCCTCCGTTTACCGTGGTTATCTCATTGCTTATCTATGTACGCTAATCCAAATTCATTTTGGATCAGGCTGGTGGGACGTTTCACTGCCAACAAAGGCAGGGGCCTGCTGGGGCAGGGTGAGAGCTGGCCTTTCTTTAAAACCAAGCCTCTTCCCTCACTCGGACGCCACAGCCCAGAAATGCTGCTGGGGCTGCCCTTGCTGCTGCCGCCGCCACCCTTCAGGGCCACCTGTAAGGCCGAGGAGAACCAGCCTGGAGCGCAGCAACATCTACAGCTCCAAAAAAGCAGAGGTGCTCTTCACTGGGAAAACCCAGCTGTAGTCAGCCCATTCCTTCTCCCTCCACAGGGCCTGAAAAGATTAGCCAATTAATTCGGAGGCAAATGGGTTCAGATTCGGGAGGCCCATTCAGAGATTAAGCAGGCATGACTCAAGGCAGTCCCAGCTTAAGCAGCCAGTAGAACAAGCTGATGGAAACCCTTCAAGCATCCGGAAGTTAATACCAGACAGAGAGCCAAACAACCGGTTTCTATAGCAGCTTCCCAGGTTCTTGAGCACCTGCCCAACTTCTGTTTGCTCCTTTTCCTCTCGCTGTCCCTTCTTTTCTCGACTCCTTCAGGAGAAGTGCCGCTTTGCTCCCTCCTCAACATTCAAATCAAGCCATGGGGAGGCTCGCTCCGAGGCCCATCCTCACACCGCTAACAGGGCGAGTCAACTGCGCGCACACACCCCTCTCCGCTCGGCTCAGCTCATCTCCGCTCAGCAGGGATTGCACCACTCGGCTCCCAGGCTCTAATGGGAGTGGAAGATTTTTCTCCCCCCAGGGACACCTCAGCAGGCAGCGAGGGAGAAAGGCCCGCTCGAGGCCTGCAGGCAGGGATCGGAAAGTTAGCCTTTCCTCAAGAGGACCCAGTGGGCAACTCTGCCCCACATTGGTTGGCCAGCAAGGCCTTCGGGATCAGGATCCAAAACCCGGTGAAGAAAGGTGGGGGTGGGGTGGGGGGTTGTAATGGAAGAGAAATGGCCTCTGGTGAGCTTTGGGCACACAGGTGAATCAAAGGGATCCTCATGAGGTTCTCCCACACTCTGGCATACACAATGAGCATCCTTCTCCTAGCTCTTCCTACTTGGTTATGCCCATGGGACAGCCATCTCCTGTGTCCCAGGTCATCAGCTTAGGCCTCCTTCCATTTAAGGAAGCACAGGGTTGCAGGAAGGCAAGGCAGACAGGTCACCCTCTTCTGATCACCCCTTTAGTTGAGCTGCCCATTTCAGGCCAGTAGAGGATCAGCACACTTAGGCTGAAAGGGGGCCCCAAGGCACTATGACCTTTGTTCACAACCATTTAAGTACTGAGGGATGGAAGCTTGGATTATTGTGCACATCTGATACACCATTCCCCATAGTGAGCATAAGCCAACCAACTGCAGCAGAAAGAGCTTTCACTGAAAATTTCCCTCTGACCCAGATGCAACTACAGTTCAATCCTAAATGGAAATTATAATTGGAAATACCTGCAGCTAAGATTGTCGCATGTCAGGTACTGACTTCCATAGAAAGAAGCTAGTTTTCTTATAGAAAGTGACAGTGACTCTGCATTAAAAGAAGAAGAACCACTTTTAAGGCTGTCTAAACTTCCATGAAGGTTTTCTGTAAGCATGTGAATGGAGACACACAGATACAGACACACACACTTTCTCAGAATATCTAGAACTGGGGAGCATTCAAACCTTCTGGAAATCAAAAGAAGCTTAAAAGAGTTTTCAGACCATTAACTTCTCTTTAACCCTTGATCAGGATGTGAAAAGGAAAAAGCCACCAAGCTTGTAGATCTGTATAAAGTTAACTTTTTCTCCTTTTAAAGAAGGAAGCAGTTCCTGAAATTGGAAAGCAAAGGAGAGGCAGGAAACCTAAATACAAACCTCACTAGGAGCTACAGGTTGGGTTTGGACACCCGCTGAGAGCTAGAACAGCAATATAGTGAGCGGTGGGGTTCAGCCTTTGTCCAGGGCCTTCAGATACAAAAAGCCTCATTCGTTGACAGTCCACAGGCAGTCCAGAGCCTGCAGTAAGTTTCCATTCCTTTCCATTCCTCTCCTCTCCTCTCCTCTCCTCTCCTCTCCTCTCCTCTCCTCTCCTCTCCTCTTCAACATGTTGTCAGAAAGGGACCACTGGT